AAACCAGTGGAAGGTTTTTTTTTTTTCTTTGAGATAGAGTCTTACTGTGTCACCCTCGGTAGAGTGCTGTGGTGTCACAGCTCACAGCAACCTCAAACTCTTGGGCTGAAGCGATTCTCTTCCCTCAGCCTCCCAAGTAGCTGGGACTACAGGCACCTGCCACAACGCCCGGCTATTTTTTGTTGCAATTGTCCTTATTTAGCTGGCCTGGGCTGGGTTTGAACCCGCCACCCTTGATTTTTGTGGCTGGCGCTGTAACCACTGTGCTACGGGTGCCAAGCCCCAGTGGAAGGTTTTAAGCCCAGAAATATCATAATATAATCTCACGAAACCTTACTTTGGCTGTAGAGTGGAGAATTGCCTATGGGGAGTAAAAGGAAATGGGGGACTGAGTAGGGAGGGAGCCTGCATGTCCCGTCTCTGGGGCTACCAATGTAGGGAGGCTGCGTGGGGAGGTGACATGGCCAACAGAAGGAGATTCAGGCCAACCTGGGGACATCTGCACAGTCCTGTTCCCCATGTGACTTGACGTACTCACAGATCCCAGGGATTAGGACTGGGATGGGTTTGAGGCCAGGCTGCCACCCATGTAAGATAAAACCAGTTTGCTATTAATGCAAGATAGGGTGATCAGAGAGCAAGAAGCATCTTTTGGGATTAAAAATGTGATTACAAAACCAGTTCAAAGGATGGACTAATTAACAACATGCATGACAAAGATCAAGCTGATCATATGCAAGTGGAGAGAATGGAAACGGAGAACAGAGCAGCAGGAGGCAGGAGATAAAGCAGGAGGAAACCAACCTTCATTTCACGCAGGCGGCAGAAGAGAAAGAAGGATGGCAGGTGGGAATATAGTCACATAATTAGTGGAACAAATTTCTGAGTGCTGGATGAAGCCATGAACATGCAGTTTGCTTAGAATGATTGATCCACTCCAAGGTGTGCCCTGACCACATTCAGGATACCAAAGAAAAGGAAAATCCCAACGGCTCAAGAAAGAGAAAAAAGGAAAGAAAATACCACTCAGCCGAAGAAAGAGGGTCCCACTGACCTTGGGACACTCCCTGGCAGCACCAGGTGCTGGGTAAAGGAAATAGATGTTGAGCCTGGACTTCTGTACCCAGAAAAATCATCAACCAAATATGAGGGGAAGTGAAAGATATTTCCAGCCACTCTAGAGCTTGGAAAGTTTACTTTCCATACAACCCTTCTGAAATATTCTTCGAGAATATATTTCAGTGGAATGAAAAGGAGGCCCAAGGCTTAAGAAGATGTGAAATTCACAAAATGACAAAGCCAGCCCAGGTTGGATTGAGAAGGAACCCAAGGACATTTGGGTGAATACCCAACGAGGCAGTGAGAAGGCGGGAGGAATAGGGCGCTGAGAGGTGCCCCCACACGTCCTGTCTCGAGCCTCCACCCTCTGCCTGTGTGGAGGAGTGTCTCTGAGAAGACTGGACTCTGCCCACAGAGTCTGGGAGGCTGGGCTCCACGGTGGCAGGACAGGGCAGTGGGTGCACATGGTCTGCACCGCGCTGCCTGGGCACCTACCTGATCTGATGCCCACAGACCGTGAGACCCACAGCTGGCTGGTCGACTCCTCTGTGCCTCAGTTTCCTCATCTGCAAAATGGAGTGAATTATCCTGTCTGCCTTGCAGGGCATTAGGGGGTGATGAGTTCACATATCCAAAGGGCACAAGTTCCCTTTGGATATGTGAAATACCATTGCTACTATCTTTATGTGTTCCTTCTAAAAAGCTGCACAGAAAGCCAATACCCAAATCTAAAGCAAACCCAAATATACACAACTCTGAGAAATTAATGGAGTGTCAGGAAAACCAATAAATGTCATCTGGACATTTGGAAATTCCTCAGTAAATGACACAGGTTTGGTGAGTTGAGTGATGGAATTAGATTTGGGTCCCTTGGCCTGCTCAGGGGTAGGCTCCACAGTGAATGATATTTATGTAACCACGATGATTCATTTCTCATTTTGGAATCACCCTGTGGACCAATCTCATGGGCAGCTCAATGTCACAGATAGAGGCAGATGTGGATGTTATGAACCACTTTGAGGATGGGAGAGGAAGACACAGGTAAGTGGGAGGGGAGGCATGCGTGGCTTCCCTTAACAACGTGGCAGGGAGTCCGGAGACGCTGGCTACAGCTGAAATGTTCAGAAATAGAGCCTTAAATATTCCTCTTAGGTCACAAAGGTAACCACTAGAATAACCAAAAATAACAACAGCTCAGAAAAATCCAGTGAAGGAGGAGCAGGGGAGGGGAAGTAAGGGTGAGGAGAACTAGCTTAAGCGCTCATTTGTCACCTCCAGAAGTCACAGGAGATTGTCTCAGGCTGACAAAGCAGGCACTAGATCTGTGAGCTTATTATGCACATGTGTAGTGGACAAAATGAAAAAAACTAAAGCCAGAAAAAAATATGATATCCTTTGGGGAGAAGGGCTTGCAGAGAAGAGAGAACACACGATATTAACTTTCACTTTGTAGTTTTCCAGATGGTTTGACCGTTTCAAAATGTGCATATTTTATTTTTCCAAGTGACAAAGTGAAGCCCCCACACTGGGTACTGGCCACCTGCCCTGGATAGGCCCTGTCACCCTCTGGCTGGAGCAGACTGCTCTCTTGCTCTGGGAAGAGTCCCCTTATAAACTTTTCAAGGTGAAAAATGCAAGCGTGATATCGACATTTAAAGGTAGCATGTATATATTTATTTTGCAATATTAAAGTAAAAATAAATGTGGAAGTGATTTATATCAAGTAACTTTTCAATCCTACATCCAACATGTGTCCTTCAATCCCCCATAAATACCAACACTTTGTCCATTGAAAATGGAATATTCCATAAAATCCAGAATTTCCAGGAGTCTCAAGCCTCCTACTGGCCATGTGGGGCTGAAGGACACTGGAGGGGAGGCTTCCCAGATTCCAGCCCCTCCCCAGAGCAGGAATCCCACAGAAGTCCTGCCAGTCCCAGAAAGGGGGTGTCCCAAGAGAAGAGTTCTCCCTGCATCTCAAAACACATTGGAGTTGGATATTTTGCAAGTTTGCACCTGCTCTGGCCTGAGGGAGGCTCAGATACCCCTCCACAAAAACTCCCTAAATGCAGCCAGGGACAGGGGTCCATGTCACCTTCTTCTGGCTTAAACCACTGCCCCTGGCACCCACCCCCAAAGCCAAGATGCTCCAGAGTCTTCTGATCAGAAAGCCAAGGGTGCTGTCCTGGCATGGGGGACCCTCTGTGGTTCCCAGTTCCCTCTGGGATGTGGCTGAGTCCTGTCCACTCTCCTGGCACAGCTCTACATCTAGAACTTTCTCACACTGCACACCTTGGCCAAGATTCTGGGTCCCAAGTTCCCATGGAGGTTCTGTGGGTGACTCTCCAGGTGACACTTCCCACTGTGGGTAGTTTTGCCTATTCTTGAGCTCACGTAAGAGTGGGTCAGGGTGCCTTCTTCTGTGTCTGGCTTGTTCTTAAGCCTCATCTAAGTTGCTATATATCACTTGTTCCAGCCTCTTCATCCATAGTAGCGGCCCATTGTCAGCATGTGTTTGAAGAGAATGTGAAGATAGCATGAGGGGACCGGGGGGCTGGGCACCGTGGCTCATGCCTGTAATCCTAGCACACTGGGAGGCCAAGGCGGGTGGATTGTTTGAGCTCAGGAGTTCAAGACCAGCCTGAGCAAGAGTGAGACCCCATCTCTTAAAAAAATAGCCAGGCACTGTGGCAGACACCTGTAGTCTCAGCTACTTGGGAAACTGCGGCAAGAGGATCTCATAAGCCCAAGAGTTTGAGGTTGCTGTGAGCTATGATGCTACAGCACTCCACCTAGGGTGACTGAGTGAGACTCTGTCTCTAAAAAAAAAAAGAAAAGATAGCATGAGGGGTTCTGAGGATGGGCAACTGCTTCAGGGTTTTGTTTTTTGGGGTTTTTTTGAGACAAAGTCTCACTATATTGCCCTTGGTTGAGTGCCGTGACATCACAGCTTACAGCAACCTCTAATTCTTGGGCTTAAGTGATTCTCTTGCCTCAGCCTCCCAAGTAGCTGGGACTACAGGTGCCGCCCCCCCCCCCAGTGACCTGCTGTTTTTTCTTGTCGCAGTTGTCATTGTTGTTTAGCAGGCCCGGTCCAGGTTCAAACCCACCAGCCTTGGCTTATGAGGCTGGCACCCTAACCACTGAGCTACAGGCCCTGAGCCTGCTTCACCTTTTTTATTTTTTGCAGTTTTTGGCCAGGTCTGGGTTTGAACCTACCACCCCCGGCATATGGGGCTGGCACCCTACTCCTTTGAGCCACAGGCACCACCCCTGCTTCACGGTTTGTTTGTTTTTTTTTGAGACAGAGCCTCAAGCTGTCCCCCTGGGTAGAGTGCTGTGGCATCACAGCTCACAGCAACCTCCAACTCCTGGGCTCAAGCGAGTCTCCTGCCTCCACCTCCCAAGTAGCTGGGACCACAGGCGCCCGCCACAACGCCTGGCTATTTTTTGGTTGCAGCCGTCATTGTTGTTTGGTGGGTCCGGGCTGGGGATTCGAACCCGCCACCTTAGGTGTATGTGGCTGGTGCCTCAGCCGGTTGAGCTACAGGCACCGAACCTGCTTCATGGTTTTTAAGGTCACTTTTTAAAACTCATTTGCAATTTCTAAGTTAATATTTTTTAACATTAATATGATATGACTTTTTAGAGCCATTTCAGGTTTACAGAAAAATTGAACAGAGAGTTCCCACACACAGCATTCCCCGGGCTGTGTAAACATGTGGCGCATCCCACAGTCCATGGGTCAATATTGTCACTGGGTCAATATTTGACACTGTTGTCAAAGTCCTGACTCTGCGGTGGGCCTGAGAATGCTACCTTGTTGTTAAAGTTTGCCCCTGAAAGGAAAGCGCAGATGGGGAAGAGGCAGAGAGGTCGTCTGCGGGAGGCACAGGTCTGTCCTGGGGCTGCCTGACCCCTATCTCCTATTCTCCCTGCAGGCCTTGCCAAGCCCATTGGTCTGGTGGAGGGGCCAGGGGGCCTGGGCCAGGGCGGCTTGGCCACCACGCTGCAGGACGACAGCCGGGAGGCAGAAGGCAAGTTCGAGGAATACGGGTACAACGCACAACTCAGCGACCGCATCTCCCTGGATAGGACCATCCCTGACTACAGGCCCAAAAAGTGAGTGTGCAGCCCCCACTTTCCCCCAGGGTCCGGGGCAGCACCTAGCACACGAGAGCTCCTGGGGAAGGTTCACAAATGTCTGCTATGGAGGAAAATGGGAAGGACAGAGCCCTAGACCTAAAGGCCTCCAAGCTGTGGTCACTTGCACTCTCTCTGGCTCCCTTGTCTGTCTCTCTCTGTCTCTGCCTGTCCCTGTCTCTCCTCTCTGTCTGTCTCTTTCTCTCCATCTCTCTCTCTGTCACTGTTTGTCTCTCTCCCTCCCTCTCTCTGTTTCTCTGTCTCTCCTCTCTGTCTTTGTCTCTGTCTTTTTCTGTCTCTCCCTGTCTCTGTGTCTCTATCTGTCTCTATCTCTCCCTGTCTTTTTCTCTCTATCTGTCTTTCTCTGTCTCTGTCCCTATCTCTCCCTGTCTCTCCCTGTCTCTGTCTCTTTATCTGACTCTGGCTCTCTCTGGTGTCTCCACTCTTGACCTTGGGCATCCTCCTTAGGTGTCTAGCTGCAGGACCAGGCCCCCTCCTTGTTTGATGCAGACAAAGTTGGGCTGTGCTTCCACCCAGCTCTCTGTGCTGCCACCAACACAGACAACATGAGCTCCAAGTGCCAGGCTCTGCTGAGCATGTTTGTCTAACTTGCTTTTGGTCTGATGCTGCAATGGTGGCTTAGGCTTTGTTTAAAACGAGCCTCACCCATGTCTAAGGCTGATTCTACCAGCAGCTATACACCCGATAGTGGAAACTACATGGGTTAATCAGGAAGTCCAGGGCCCCAACTGTTGTGGCTTTGCTGTCACTCAGGACTGGATCCAGGCTCTGGCTGTTCTGTCCAGTTTGGATGCTGATGAAGGGCTTCATGGTGACAGGCCTGAGCAAATGCCCAATTGTGTGGATGCCACTGCGCTAATAAAGCCCAGCCAAGCTTGGATTCTGGGCCCTTGGAATCAGTGACCAGCTTTACTGGGCTCCCTCTGTGCTGTGTCTGCAGAGACCCAGCACATGGCGGGAGCCTGGTGGCCAGTGCTAGGTTGTGCGCTTGTGTTGGTGACAGGTGGTCGCTGGTGCTTGCCCTTGTCCTGGAGCCACCGTGAAGGGTAGGAGGAGAGCAGGTCTGTTTCTAGCGCCTGTGTTGGTTTGCCCATCCCCTGTGCCCTGCGGACACTGGGACATGGGCTCTGTGCTGGAACTGGATTAAGGAGGGGTGGGCAGGTCAGCAGGGCCGAGCACGAAGCAAGGGAAGACACCCAGGATTGGGGCTCCAGCCTTCCCTGCCCAGCAAGGAAGTGTGTACTCGTGTGTCTCTCCTACCCCCACCAGCCCTCGGGGGTGTTAACATACCTGCCCTCTGGTTCACCTGTGCTGGACCCAGGGAGGGGAGATGGCTAAACAAGCCCATGGGGCCTGAGGTAGCAGAAGCAACAGCCATGTGCAGGTGGGTGCTGGGCCTAGGGGCTCCCTGTCCCAGCCTAGGCTTTGCATTACCCTGTTTCCATAAGTGTGTCCTGAGAATTGATTTTAGGTGTAGTGACGCTTCCTTAAAAAGCACAAAGCCGGCTCGGCGCCTATAGCTCAACTGGCTAAGGCGCCAGCCACGTACACCTAAGGTGGCGGGTTCGAATCCCCAGCCCGGACCCGCCAAACAAACAATGATGGCTGCAACCAAAAAATAGCCAGGCGTTGTGGCGGGCGCCTGTGGTCCCAGCTACTTGGGAGGCGGAGGCAGGAGACTCGCTGGAGCCCGGGAGTTGGAGGTTACTGTGAGCTGTAACGCCACGGCACTCTACCAGGGGGACAGCTTGAGGCTCTGTCTCAAAAAAAAAAAAAGCACAAAGCCACCCAGTCTGAATCTGTACCTGGGTTCTTTTGTTAGTCTCCTGATTCCATCCTAGAGAAATTCTTGTTGGGTCCTTTAGATGAAGGGGGCAGAGGCCTGGGGCACAGAGGCTCCCACTGCTGTGGCCATATCCAGCTTATGTTATTTTCTCTCCATTGCATTAATTTTCAGGGTTACCATGATTTAACACAAGCAATGCTTCCCACTTGCAGTGGTGAAATGAAGATTCTTTTTTGAGTAAAAAACACATTTAGTTTTGGCTCAGTGCCTGTAGCTCAGTGACTAGGACACCAGCCACATATACCAGAGCTGGTGGGTTCAAATCCAGCACGGGCCTGCCAAACAACAATGACAACTACAACAACAACAAAATGGCCGGGTGTCATGGCAGGCGCCTGTAGTCCCAGCTACTTGGGAGGCAGAGGCAGGAGAATTGCTTGACCCAGGAGTTGGAGGTTGCCATGAGCTGTGATGCTACGGCACTCTACCCAGGAAACAGCTTGAGGCTATGTCTCAAAATAAATAAATAAATAAATAAATAAATAAATTCAATTAAATAGATCAACGTAAATAAACATACTAAGTAAATAGGAATGCAGTCATATCTTGATATGACAACTGTCACAGATGCAGACTCAGTGACTCGGGCTTGGGAAGCTGGTCACGTGGATCGTCTGGTCTGCACTGAGGGGTATGTGCATGTGTGTGCATAGACTTTTGAGCACACCTCCTGTCCCCTGTGTGCTGAGTTTGGGGGGATGAAATAAGTGAACTGTCAGGACTAGCACAACTGCTGGGTTTAAGCACATTCTTGGCTGTGAGCTGCCAGGCAGCTGTACAGTTGAGAGATCCCAAGACCACCCCGAAGTAGAGTAACTTGCTAGAAGGACTCACAGGACTTCAAAAAGATGCTTTCCTCTGGCACAGTGGCTTATAGTAAAAGGACACAGATGGAAACCAGCAGAGGGGAACGGCATATGGGGCAGGCCCAGAGACCAGGTGGGAGCTTCCACGTGGCTCCTCTTGGGAACTCAATTTTCCCAGCACCAATGGGTGATGGCACAGGCAAGGTTTTGCCAGCCCTCAGTGTGCAGGGCTTTTTTTGATGTGAGCATGTGGGCATGTGGACGTGGCTAACCACCATGCTCTGCATGGTAAGAGTTTCTCTCATTTTCCCTTTGAAGAATTATTTCCCTGTTCCTTCCCTTATGCCCCCCCCTTTGTAAAAATCTCAATCTGGCAGAAGTGGTCAACCTCAGCTGTCATTCTTACATCACTAAAGAAGACATCAGGGCAGCAAACTTGGAAGGAGCTGGCCTTTACGGTGTGTCTTCACTGGCAGAAACTAACCATGGACACTCTGATTTGGGGGGGACACAGCTTTGTGCCCCCCCCAAATCAGAGAAGGTGGATTTTATTTAGTAATTTACATGTTTATTTATATAGTATTTCTTTTAAAAAAATGAGGCTTTGACACTGGTGATATGCACAGATGCCCCACCCCACCTGCCCCATTCCTGGGCACCCATGAGAAGGGTCATGGGATCGTTCATGTGCAGTGACAGCCCTCAGAAGCTTAGGCTCAGAACGTAGACCCCAGGTGGATTCTGGATTCTTGGTCGTTATCCCAGGGACCACTTTCCACCCTGTGTAGCTCAGCAAGTGAGGCCAAGAAGTGTCACTGTGATTCCAGCCTTTACCTGGGGCTCAGTGAAGAAATGCTTGGAGTTTGCAGACCACTTAGTCCCTGCAGCTGGGATTTGACCCAGAGAATATTGTCCCCATTTCACAGATGAGGAACTCAAAGCAGTTATGGTCAAGTCTCTTAACTGTTTTCTCACCATGAATAGGGGGCAGAGCTGGGGTGGAGGCAGAGGCAGAGGCAGAGGGCCGAGGGCTGGGGGCTGCCCCAGCTACTGCATGGGGTCTCTTCCCATGCTGAGCCCAGCTCCCACCCTGCTCCTTCCTCTACTCAGAAGCCCTTTCCTTCCCGTAGCTGCCACATCCCACACAGCTGCCTCAGGCCCTGCAGAGGGCGCCACTTGCTTCCCTCTAGAGCCGGCAGTGAGGATGCAGACCCCTGTGTGCTCCCTGGCATCCTCCCACAACCCTTTCCCGATGCTTCACTTCACAGAAAGACATGGGGTGTGAGCAGATCTTGCAGATGTTGTTGAGAGAGTTCTATTTTCATCAAAAGGCTCCACACTGCCAGGCCACAGGGATGTTAGGAATACCTATGGGGGGCACTTCCACTCTTGGGGTCTTCCTGGGGGGCCTCCCTTGTCCCTCAGGCATCAGTCTTCTCTCCTGGGAGATGACACCCTTGATTAGTTCCCCCAGCAAGACACCTCCTTACCATCCTGATAGTTGAGTCCAAAAGATATAAAATTCACCTAAAAATGGGCCAACCAGAAAAGGGAATTTGTTGACTCAGGCAACCTAAATGTAAGGTTTCAGACATGGGTTGCTCTAAGGCAGGGGTTCTCAACCTTCCTAATGCCACGGCCCTTTAATACAGTTCCTGTGGATGGAGACCCACAGGTTAAGAACCGCTGCTCTAACGGATGATGCTGTGGGTCATTGATTCAATTCAAGCAAAAGTCTTGGTCATGGCTTTCATTCGTATATCTTTAGTCATGTGCCTGTCTGGGAGCTAGTCACAGCCAGCAGCCTGGGAATAGAGTTCACTGATTGGTCAAGCTGAGGTCACATGCTCCCCATGGGAAATACGGTTGAGGTGGACATCATGGAGGTGGAGGGGGCTGGAGGAGAAGAGCTGACAGAAGCCACAGTCACTGGGAAACCAGAGAGCACCTCACTGGCCCCAACGTCCTGTGCAGGAACCTTGCTGCTATCCTGTGTCACAGTCTAGATCAGTGTTTTCAACCGTTTTTAACTCATGGCACACTTGAACCTATAGTTAAACTTCGTGACACACTTAAATTCTGTTGATCCAACAAAGTAAAAAAAGGAATATAGATACTGTGCTTTGAGCTTAAAAAAATAATTTAATTAATGAACTTTAAAAATTTTCGAGGCATATCTAAAATCCTCTCATACCACACTAATGGGCTGTTGCACACGGGTTGAAAATCACTGGTCTAGATGCTGTGGGTTCTAAGAGTGGCCACGGAGGGTGGGCTAGGTGGAGAGGCTGAGGCTGCCCTGGGGT